CCCCAAAACCCCAAAACCCCAAAACCCCAAAACCCCTGGCTAGATATGCATAATTGAACTAACCAAATTCTAGTATAATTCCCTTCTCCAAGACTATCACTAATAATGGTGATGGAAAGTCATCATGGGAGGCATATTTTATCCCAACTAAGCACTGGCATGCTTCTAGACTCTTTATGAGGATTGAAAATTGTTATATTTAGGAAACTTCTAGACCCTTTGTGTGTAAAGAGTAGGCTTGAGAAGTTTACTCTGAGACTTTGGTTAGGAACACTTCCAGGAGTACTCAGAATTCAGCTACTCTGTCTTTGCTTAACTGATTTTTCTTCAATAGAGCTGATGTCCATCGGGAGTATAGAGCTTTTAACTTTTCAACATCGGCTCTGTTGCACTCTCCTTCGTTAAGAATGGTCTTAACTGAGTGCTTGATTGATAAGGTCAAGGCAGCAGATGCCACCTCTGCACTATTATACTCGATATAAGAAGGCACTAGAGGAGATAGCTTCGTGATTGAGTAAATTCAGTCCTCTATTTCCTCTCTTAATAATCCATGAGAGTATTCTAGGTCCTTTGAGGGATGAGAATTGTCTAAATAATTATTTCTCTTTGGCCTCCTCGGTATTCAAGATCTTCTTCTGTTTTGTAGCTATCAGCTGTAGGATTTTCAAACTTGGCAACACACGGATGTAGTGGTCAATGAAATGCTTTGGGTTTACAATTTGCATCTTCCAGTTTATTCTGAATAGAATTTCCATCTGCTTTTCACAAATGTATTCATAGATTATGTCAAGTATCAAGGAAGAGATATCTGTCATATTCTTGATTTCAGGCTCATCAGTCTTGATCTTGACCGCCAGTTTCTCCATTCTGAAAAATTTCAAGATATGAATCAGCCCGGGAGATTCACGCTCATGTTCGTAATATTTCACACAAATGGTAAGGCATGAGAGGATATCAAAGAACTTGCCGTACTGCATTAATTTCTTATCCCCTGCTTCTCCCTCTCCGAAGATAAAGAGGTCCTTGAGGGGTTTATTCTCAAGCAGTCAGTTTTCTTCCCAGTCAGAGTGCACTACTCTTCTGTTGAAATCATAGAGAAAGATTGTTCTGAAGAAAGTGTCATCTGAAAGTTCATATTCGTCTCAAATTTTCTTGATTTTTCAGATAAGATTTTCTCTTAATTTCTCCTCACTAGGATCTGATTTTTCCAGAAGTTTTGTGAGATCCTTCCTGTATTCCATCTCAGTCTATAAATTTGGTCAACTTTAGTCACTAAATTTTGGGGATTACCGTATAAATATTGGAGAAGTCCTCATCTTTAGGTCATATTTCCTTGTTGTAGTCGTACTGAGACTTCTTAGCCGTTGGATACACCTTCTTAAAGAGGGACTTCCTGGAATAAGTACTAGGGGTTAGCCGATAAACTCACCTATTTTGGAGATGACATCACATCTGAGGGGAGAACTATCTTCTTGTTGTTCGCTAATTTCCGGATAAATTGCCTACGAATTTGAGCTAATTTCTTCAAAATTTGTGAGAATTTGATAAATTTTTATCCCAAAATTTAGAAATTTTTGGGAAGGATACTTACGGATCAATCCCTTTTGTTGTAGTGGAGATACCAGAAATGGATGAGCCTGGGAAAGGAGAGACTGACCGCTTCGTATCTTTGTTCTTTTGGCAAGCTATAAATTAATCAGAAATTTCCAGAAATTTATGCATAAATTGTAGCAATACTTCCTAAGGTAAGCCAGGTTGGGAGTTTCTGATATTTCTAAACTGGCTCATTTGAAATGTTCTTATAGTTTAAATATTGCATCGAGGCGATGCAATATTTTTAGGATGAAAGAGCTATTATTCTTGAAGAAATATGAACTATATAATATAAATCTCAACAGCAGTGCTACATTTCTCTTAATTTTTGATTTCCTAATGAAACGATAAATATGGGCTGAAAGTCTCCTCCATAACGGAGGCTCCTTAATTTAAGTAAAACAGTTTAGTATTAGCTAAACTACCTTTCACAAAGAATTAAAAATCAAACTTGATTATTTTATTACTTGTAGGGTTTTTATAGTCCCCCCTTATGATCAACTTCTTGTTCCTATTTCTTTTCGGCACCTAAAAAGTCAGAGTCTCACAATTACTCCTGCATGGTGGGGAGGTGGTGACACGATGCTGCTGTTGTTACTGACTGGGTCTGGAGACCTGATCCTGGTCTTATCCTAAACTTTGCATAGTAAACTACTCTTTGGAGATAACTTGGCAGAGAATTTAAAACTTTAACAAGTTGATTAGATTTTATGTTCATAGTATTATAAAAATCAATGCTAATGTTTATGATAGATTATGAAGATATTTCATAACTGGCTTAATGAGAAAATAGTGAGGGCAAATTCTCAGTACGACATTCCTATTTGCTTCAACCATGGATATCTCTATAAGAATTAAATCATTCTGCTGAAAAACTTCAGGTTTCTTGCTGCTATATTCAGAAACCTAAGCTAGTCTGACCTAACTTAGAATCTATCTCTAGTACCATTCATGAAATTTTGTAGTTGGCGAATACATATTGAGAAGAATGTTGCAGAACATGGAATTTGTACAAACCATTGACTTATTATCATCTACCATTTATTTCCAGGCTTTCATAAATTTCCTAGCGCATCTAGTTAAAATTGTCACTAGTATTTAAAGATATCTCTGTCAGGATCGGTACACCAAAGTGAGAGATTTAGAACTGTTGAATTTAGACTAACTGAGATAGGTATTTAAAATATACCTACACCTGTACTATTAAAGGGCTTTAAGTGAATTGTTTGAAGGAATTTGGAGTTATAAAAATGAGATGAGGGTTAAAATAGAGCCAATATGAAAACCCTCTCGATTTTAAGGACTCATACTACTCAATGCTTCTAGTTAACCCTTCCTTATTATACTTTATGAGTACCAATGCTAGGTCTTGGGTGATAACTTACCTTTGTTCCATAATTATTTCTGAACATAAACTGTTGTTACATTAATGTTATAGATCGCCTTGTTATTACGACTCTTACGATCAGAGCATACAGAATGATTATTATCAAGAATCAATCGACTGTTTCTAAAATATTTTCGGTTGCTCATGCTGTTATCCTTCATGCTAGATTTGACTTCTTTCCGGCGGGTATTTTGTGAGAGGACTCGATTCTTGGTACGGGTCATAGCGTCCCTTATCTGGATATTATTAACCAAGTTATGTCTGAGTCTATCCTTCAGCTCCTTGTTAGTAGCTCCTGCTTGCATTTTTATTATATATTAACTTTATTCAATAATTTTTGAGCTTGGGGTTTTGGGGTTTTGGGGTTTTGGGGTTTTGGGG